GCCCTCCTCTGCCACCAGCCCCTGCTCCAAGCTGGTGGGGCAGCCTCCTGGAGGAAGGACTTGGAGAAACCCTCCCATCCAAGAGGCAAGAGGAGGAACACAGCCTGCAACCCCCAGGAACAGCTGCCCCCCCAAAAATGGGCTGAGAAGCCCCAAAAAGAGCGTGAAGGAAAGGGCATCAAAAAAAGGGGAAGAGCAAGGGGCGAGCGGTTTCCCCACCACTCAAGAGAGGATGGAGGAGGCCAAAACGACTCACCATGGGGTTGGAGTCAGAGATGAGGTCCTTCAGGGTGTCCAGGAAGCCTTGGTCCTCCACCAGCTGGGCGTTGATGTCGTGCAGTTTGGCCACGCAGACGGCGGCCGTTTTGCGCACGTAGGGATCCTCGTCCTTCAGGCACTTCCGCAGGGGCTCACACAGATACTCTGTGATCTTGTCCACCCTGATGCAGCCCATGGTGCGCACGGCCAGGGCACGGATCAGGGGGTTGGGGTCCTCACAGTCCTGGGGGAAGGAGAGGGGGGGAGACAGGGGTGATGCTGCTTAAGGGTGGATCTGCTGGAGAGCGGTTCCGAGGAGAAGGATCTTGGAGTCCTGGTGGATGGGAAATGGTCCGTGTGGCAGGAATGTGGCCAAGGAGGCCAATGGAATCAGGTGCACACAGAAGAGTGGGGCCAGTAGGTCCAGAGAGGTCATCCTGACCCTCTACTCTGCCCTGGTGAAGCCACAGCTGGAGAACTGGGTCCAGTTCTGGGCTCCCCAGTTCAGGAGAGACAGGGAACTGCTGGAACTGTCCAGAGTGGGCAACAATGACTGGGGGGTTGGAGCATCTCTCTTCCCAGGAAAGGCTGAGAGAGCTGGGACTGCTCAGCCTGGAGAGGAGAAGGCTGAGGGGAGACCTTGTTAGTGCCTGTAAGTATCTCAGGTGGGTGCAGGGAGGCTGGAGCCAGACTCTGCTCAGTGGTTCCCAGGGACAGCATGAGGGGCAACGGGCACAAGCTGGAAGATGGGAAGTGCCACTGAAATAGGAGGAGAAACTTCTTTCCTGTGAGGGTGACAGAGCCCTGGGACCAGGCTGCCCAGGGGCTTGTGGAGTCCCCTTCTCTGGAGACATTCCAAGCCCTCCTGGATGCAGTCCTGTGGGATGTGCTCTGGGCAATCCTGCTCTAGGGAGAGTTGGAGAAGGTGATCTCTAGAGGTCCCTCCAACCCTGACAGTTCTGTGACTCTGTGATCAGTGGTGGCTTCAGGACCTCCTTTAGGGTACCTGAAGCCTGGAGGCTTAAACACTAAAGGATAAGTCACCCAAGACAGAGCTTTGATCTCCTGTCCTGCAATCCAGCACCCACAGAGCTTTAACACCTTCACTCCAAACACCCTCCAGGACCCTGACCCCTTCATCCCTTCACACCTGAAGTCAGCTCCACCCTCCAGAGGGGCCACCTGCCCCAGAAAACACCTCCATTTGCTTAACCGTGAGGGTTTTTTTCTTCCTGAAAAGCCAAAGCTCCCTCTGATGCCCACCACAAACTGCTTGGGCAACTTCTGAGCTCCTGACAAACAAGCTCTTCAGCTCCCAACCCCAGCAGGAAGATCACGAGGGCTCCCTCAGCCGCAGAGTCGGGCGCGTTGGCTCAGGCGACCACGGCAGCTGCCCACGACCAGTGACACAGCAAGTGGCCCAGGAGGGCTGCCAAGAACATGTTTTTTTTTTATTTCTGCACTACTGGGCAAATTTGCTCAGTTTTCTAAAGCTCAGGGAGAGGATCTGGAACTCTGCCTAGGCTCTCTTTGGAGTGGGGTACACAGCAGCACAGCCTGGTGGCATTGAAGGACAGAGGGGACAGGTCATAGAATCACAGGCTGGTTTGGGTGGGAAGGGACCTTAAAAACCATCCAGACCCAACCCCCTGCATGGGCAGGGACACCTCCCACCAGCCCAGGCTGCTCCAAGCCCCATCCAACCTGCCCTTCAACACTGCCAGGGATGGGGCAGCCACAGCTTCCCTGGGCAACCTGGGCCAGGCTCTCACCACCCTCACACCAAAGAATTTCCTCCTCATGTCCAACCTCAACCTCCCCTCTTCCAGTTTTAATCCATCCCCCCTTGTCCTCTCCCTCCCTGCCCTTGTCCCAAGCCCCTCCCCAGCTTTCCTGGAGCCCCTTCAGGCACTGGAAGCTGCTCTAAGGGCTCCCTGGAGCCTTCTCTTCTCCAGGCTGAACACCCCAACTCTCCCAGCCTGGCTCCAGAGCAGAGCTGCTCCAGCCCTTGGAACATTTTTGTGGCCTCCTCTGGACTCTCTCCAGGAGCTCCATGTCCTTCTTGTGCTGGGGACCCCAAGCCCTCCCCCCTCACCTTCACGAATGTGTTGACTGCCATGATGGCCATGTCAGGCTGGCTCTTGGCATAGTTCATCAGGTAGAGGTAGACCAGCTTCTTCAGCTCCAGGTTGTCTGTCTGCATGCAGTTCACCACGTCTGGGAAGAGAGCACTGAGACACAGAAGCACTTCCATGAAGGCAGGAGACAGGAACACCAGGCAAGGAGACACCACTGCCCATGGGACCCCTTGCATGGACATCCCCTTCCCATAGCTCAACACTCTCCTGGAGCAAGAAGACCCCAGGTTCTTGCTGGATCTGAGCCCAGCCCACTGCAGACGAAGCTAAATCACCCATCCCAGTGGCTTCTTCTTTATGGATCTGCATCAAAAGCAGCTCAACATGGTCCCTAATGGACTGAGCTCTCCCCACATGGCTCTGCTGTATCCCAGGGCACATCCATGGCCCCAGAAGAAGGTGCCAGCCACATGACCCAGCCATCATGGGATGGTGGGAAAGCCTCCAGAGCCTGCCAGAGGAGACATGGGGGATGAGCCAGCCCCTCCTCACCTTCTCTGTCCTCCCTCCCACACAGCCCCCCCAGAACCCTCCCCTGCTCTGGTGGACCTTCAACCTGCCCTGCTGCAGACCCCCAAGTGCTCACCCCCCTCCTGCATGAGAAATGTCAAGAGAGTCAACCCCCCAGAATGGTGGCAGGAACAGCCCCCCTGGCCCAGCCAGCCCTGCAGCAGGACTGTGCCCTGCTGGGAGGGAGCAGAGCTGCCAGGCTCCATGGAGCTGGGGGGTCCTTCCCAAACCTCATCCAGGTGAGGAAAAAAAACCCTAAAGCTGCAGCACGGCAGAGACATGTCATGGAGTCCCCAGCTGGTTTGGGTGAGACAGGACCCCAAAATATCATCCAGTCCCACCCCCTGGCATGGGCAGGGACACCTCCTACCAGCCCAGGCTGCTCCAAGCCCCATCCAACCTGCCCTTCAACACTGCCAGGGATGGGGCAGCCACAGCTTCCCTGAGCAACCTGGGCCAGGCTCTCACCACCCTCACAACAAAGAATTTCCTCCTCATGTCCAACCTCAACCTCCCCTCTTCCAGTTTAATCCATTCCCCTCATCCCACCCCTCCCTGCCCTTGTCCCAAGTCCCTCCCCATCTTTCCTGGAGCCCCTTCAGGCACTGGAAGCTGCTCTAAGGTCTCCCTGGAGTCTTCCCTTCTCCAGGCTCAACACCCCAACTCTCCCAGCCTGGCTCCAGAGCAGAGCTGCTCCAGCCCTTCCAGTATCTCCATGGCCTCCTCTGGCCTCTCTCCAACAGCTCCATGTCCTTCTGGTGTTGGGGACCCCAGCCCTGCAGAGGGGACAATTCCCTCCCTGGCCCTGCTGGTCACACTGCTGGGGATGCAGCCCAGAACACAGGTGGGTTCTGGGCTCCTGCTGAGCTTCTCCTCCCCCAGCACCCCCAAGTCCTTCTCCTCAGGGCTGCTCTCCATCCATTCTCCACCCAGCCTGGGGGTGGGATTGCCCTGCCCCAGGTGCAGGATCTTGCACTTGGCCTGGTTGAACTTCATGAGGTTTGCAGAGGCCCACCTCTCCAGCCTGCCCTGGTCCCTCCCCTCCAGCCTGTCACCACAGCACCCAGCTCAGTGTCCTCAGATAATCTGCCCACCTGTCCAGCCCATCCAGGTCTCTGTTCCACCACAGACAATTAGATTCAAACCACAGGCAGCCCAATTTGTCTATGAAAATTAAGAGAGGCCATCAAGCCCAGAGGGCTAACACAGGGGTTATCCCACCCTGACAGATGTCCCTGGGTTCCTGGAAGCTTCTCCACCACCCCAATCCCATCAGGATCAACCTAAGTCCATAGGATGGGCACTTTGCTCCCACCTCAGCTGCTCCCACTGGGCTCTCCCAGACTTTCTTGGCACCTCCCAGAAGGTGGAACTCAGTGAGCTGCTCTCCTGCAACCTGAACTACCCCCACACCCAAAACCACCAGCATTTCCTTCCCAAGAGATGCAGTTTCTGCCAGGCAAGTCCCTGCCAGGTCCAGTGTCACCTTCTCCCTGGTGGCCTGAGTGTCTCCCACTGCTGGAGGGCTTTGGGGGTCGGGGACACTCCAGTTTTCCAACCCCAGAGCACGTTTTTTCCCCTCCATCTACTCTCAGACACCCTGGGAGAAGCAAAGGACTGACATTTGCAGAGCAGAGGGTGCCTGGGGACAGGAGGGGACAGGAGGGGACAGGAGGGGACAGGAGCTGCTGGCTCAGATGGCTCAAGGAGAAAAACAACTGCCCCATTTTTTTTGACCAGAAGAGGCTGCAAAAGGCTGATGGAGATGGAGAAAGAGACACCACCCCCTGAAATAAAGGCTCAGAGGGGGTTCTGCTGGGGTTTAGTGACACTTTCAGGAAGCTGCAGTAATCCCAGCACCTGTCCTGGCAGCCAGACCAATCCTCCCTGAGCCAGATTACCCTGGAGACCCGCCGGGCTGACACGAACCCTGCTGAGCAGGAGGCAGAGCTGTGGCCAGGAGCTCACTGCTCAGCCAAGGGCAATCCCTGAACCACAGTCCCCATAGCTGGAAAAGACCTCCAGGATCACCCAGTGCAACTGTCAAGCCAGAAAGGAATAAAACCAAAAGCAACCCCCTCCCCTAACGTGTCCACTAGAACATGACCCGAAGGCCACATGCACGTTTGTGGAACAACTTCAGGGATGGTGACACCAGCTCCAGTGTCCAACTTATCTTTAGTGAAGAAATTCTTCCTAAATACCCAATCTGAGCCTCCCCTGGAGCAACCTGAGGCCATTTCCTCTAGTCCTGTCACTTCCTCTTTAGGAGCAGAGACCAACCCCCCTGGCTCCAACCCCCTCTCAGGCAGCTGCAGAGCCAGCAGGTCTCCCCTCACCTCCTTGTCTCCAGGCTGGACACCCCCAGCTCCCTCAGCTGCTCCTTGGAAGTTCTCCAGCCTCTTCTCCTTGTGCTCCAGCCCCTTCCCCAGCTCCACTGCCCTTCCCTGGACAAGCTCCAGCCCCTCAATGTCCTTCTTGCCGAGAGGAGCCCAGAACTGACCCCAGGATTCACGGTGTGGCCTCACCAGGGCCCAGCACAGGGAGACAATGTGGTCCTGCTGGCCACACTGGTTCAGCCTGGAAACCTCTTGGAGGCAACAGAGGAAAACAGGAGCTCAGGAGCCATCTGGGCACCTTCCCAAGGGCTCAGGCAGCCCTGGCACAGCCACTCACCTGACGTCCTTGCCGACCGTCATGGACGCTATCACCTTCTTCACTGCCTCCTTCTTCTTCTCCTTCTTGTCACTGTTCAGTTCAGCTTTCAGCTCAAATATCTCCCCTGGAGGAAGGGGGAAAGGGGAGAGGTCAGGGGATAGGGAGGGTGGGTCCAACTCCCAAACATCTCAGCAGGGTTCAGGGCTGGTCTGGAGGCCCAGCTCTTACCCATGACAAAGGACATGAGGTTGCTCCCACAACCCTGTGGCTCCTCCAGCCCTGGAGGGCTGGAAGGACCAGAGATGCCACCAGAGTGACAAGCATCAGCCCCTACCCCTGGGACAGGACATGGGGTTTATTTGGGGTGTGGTTTTGGCAGCACAGAGCAAAGCCCCAGTCCTGCTGCTGGGAGGTCTCCCTGCTGAGCACCCCACAGCAAACACAGGCAGATTTTGGGATGGGATCCTCAAGGGATGGTGGCTCCCAAATCCCACTCTGCACCTGGCAGCAATGCCCAGCCCAGCACCTGGCTGGAAGACACCAGTGGCTCTAGAACCAGCCAAAGGGCATCAATTCCTGCCCTCCCAAAGCCACCTCCAGCTCTTGGTTCACTCCCAGGGAGATGGAAGAGGAAGATGCCCCACGACTTCCACGTAAATTCCTTGGCCTGGGAAGTACTTAAGTTGAACATCCCAAGCAGCTTCAGCCCAGAGCCACGTCCCACCCTGCTCAAACCAATAATCCTGATGCCAATGACCCTCTCTGGGAGCAGGGGCTGGTGACAAGGTGCTCTGACCCCACCACGGCCCAGAAGCCACCTTGTTGTCACCCACAGCATCCCACATGGGCTGGGGACATTGCCACCAGAGCTGGCATCTCCTCTACAGGGCCAGCTCTGCCCACCTAGTCATCCAGTTGTGAGGAATGCCAGATTATTCAGAGAAAACTGTGTGTTCCTCCTGCTCCTTTCCTTACCTTTCTTCGTGGTGGTGAAGTACTTTGAGTCCGTCATGGTGGCCTCCAGCTAGAGGGACGTTCCTGGGAGGAGAGGCAGAGCACAGAGAGTGAGGGTTGATAAGTTCCTTGCTGGGGTCATTCTGAAGAACTCCAGGAAGGAAAAGCCAAGGGAGATAAAGAGTGTGGGCTCTGATGGGAAGAGCCACAAGGAGCTGAAACACCTGGAGAAGCTCTCAGCTCCCAGAGGAGCCGGTTCCCCTGGAGAGGGTGAGTGCCCTGCAGCCACACTGGCACACAGCGAGTGGGAAGCAACTGGATTGCTAAGAGGGATGTGGAGGAGGAATAGGAGGAGGAGGAGAAGGAAAGCAGCCTCTGGAGATGCCAGCATTCCCCCCTGCTCCAGCCCCAACTCACTTCTCCCACCAGCAGCAGCTTCGCTCACCCCATCCCCTCCCCCCGTCCTCTGCCAATCTCCCCTGAGTTTGTGTCTCCACATCCAAGAATCACTCTTCCAGGGAAAATTCACCCTCACACCTAGGCAGGGAGCAGCTCTGGGAAGGGGAGAGGAACCCAGCCCAACCTGAGGCTCAGGGTGAGGACATCCAACCCTGCTAGGGTAGAAAGGAACCTCTTCCCCAAAACCATCCCTGCTCCAGTGCTGCTGCTTTAAATTCCATCAGGTTCCCACCCAGGATTTGGGGCTGGATGAGATAATTCCAAGCAGATATAAAGCTGGGCAGGCTGAGGAAGACTAGTGTGCAGGCAGCTCTTTCAGAAAGGTCAGCAGGGATTTGTCTCCCAGGGCCTTTTCAGCAGCAGAGAAGCTGGAGGATTGTCCTTGAAATCCCGCAGTGGCCTTGGGAATTTGGAGGGGTGGGAGCAGGGGAAGCCAAGGCCAGGAGGGAAAGGGAAAAAAAAAAAGAGCTTGCAAAGGGTTTTAAAATGTAAATAAAGCATCTTGAAAGCCAACTACAGCAATCTGGGAGCTGTGTCCTCTGTGTCCAAGCTAGAAAGGGATCCCCAGCAGGGATCAAAAGAAAAGCGGGATGAAATCTGAGCAGAACCAGGAGAGAGAGGGAAGAGTTTGCACTGGGCTGGGTTTGGGGGCTGGCAGGGAAGCTGGGACAGAGGGGACAAGACTGTCACTGTGTGTTCCCCAGCCCAGGGACACACCCACACCCCTGGGCAGCCTCACTTCTCCCGGGTTCTGTTACCTGGGATTTATTCCGAGCTTTCCTCCCACCCCCCCGGGGCTGGAGCAGCAGCAGCTCCCGGGTTGTGCCGCAGCAGCTCCGCACTTCCCTGCAGCTCCCGGCAGCTCCCGGCCTGCGAGACAGGGAGGAGGGGAAG